TGTGTGTGTGTGTGTGTGTGTGTGTGTGTGTAGGAAGCAGAGCCCCTCCCGTGCTGCCACAAGCTGGACTTTGTGTGCATGTGACCGGAGAGGGAAGCAATCAAGAGGCTGTCAAGTAGATTTTGTGAATGTGCAAGAAGTGCTCAGAGGGAGGCTGTCTATATTGAAACAAAAGGATACAGATAACCACTGAGCTAGCGAACAGTATCGGCCATGAGACATTTGTAGCTCTGAACAGAAAACAGAAAGCAGACTTCACATGCCTCTTTACAATAATCTGTTTAGATACAAGATCTTTAAATGCAAGATCTTTACTTGAGACCTGTCCCTAAAACTTGCTAGTGCAGGTGACACTGATACCAGACAGACCTGCTGAAAAATCAAAGCTGTTAGGCCTACAAGGTTAGTCCGAGTTAAGGCTTTAGATTCAAGAGATCCACATTCTACTTCTGGCTCTATTAGACTTGTTGTTTAATCTTGAGCAAGTCTCTTACATTTCTGTGTCTCAGTTTCTCCACACAAAGTGAAGCTAATACTTCAAAACTCATCATTGTTTGAGTGGCTCAGCTCAGTGCACCAGAGACCAATGTAGAGATAAATAATAAAACACAACTCCAGGACGTAACTCAGAATTGCCCCATGCATTCCCTATGATTTACATGGTGGCACAGCTAAGGAAATAAACAGGATAGAAATTACAGGAATCTCAGGCTGCAAATACTAGAGTCATGTAAACAGTACTTGTCACTTGCCTGTTTGCTGTGCTTGAGTTGGAGATCCGGAAACGCACTTGTTCAATGGCACTTTTCACCAAGGGGTCATTAGGATTCACTGAAGGATGAACTACAAACTCTACCTGTACAAGGTCAAAACAGGAGTGCATGGAGGAGGTTTACTTATGCTGATTCAGAGCAAACAGAAATTAATCACCATACAAAAGCAGTATTATCTGATGCCCTGCACAGCCTCTCTGTTTTACTCTAACAGCTCCCAAGTTGTGGTCTTCAGAGTACTTGAAGATCCATGATCAGAGGGCTCGTGCAGTTGTTTCCAGCTGTCTCATTTGGACTTTACACTGTTAAAAGCAGCCAGTGAAAGCAGCTGAGGCCAGGTTGAAATCCTGGTCCAACTGAAGTTACTGCCAAAACTCTCCCGGTCTTCAACAGAAGCAGGATTTGACCCAGGGGCAAGGAGCCAACTACTAAAAGGAAAGGAGATACAGGAGCTGCCCTCAGATTTGAGTGCCCCCGTGAGGCTTAATATCCAGAGGCAGACAGAGAAACAAAACAGGTAGGTGTGGCTCATACTACATATACATTTAGGAATGCTTCCTAGGGTTTTAAGAAAAAATAAAGACAGAAAAAGCAATTAAAATTGCCTCAAATGCTGAAACCTGTATGATGTTTTAAAACATCATAAATATATATAGGGGAACATAACCAAGCAGGGCAGCACATTTAAGGCAGCATAAGGTGCAATTTTTTAAACTGTGGGAGTAAATGACTATTTGAACAATTTATCCAGGGTCATGGTGGATTCTCTATCCCTGACAATTTTTAAAATCAAGGTGGGATGCTTCTCCTAAAAGCTTCACTCTGGGAATTATTTTGTGGAAGTTCTCTGACCTGTGATATACAGGAGATGAGAGTAGATGGTCACAATGGTCCGAGCGGGGTTTGAATACTAGTAACAAGCTGAAAAGTGTATGAAAAACGTCAAAAGTTCATAAGACCAATGAATTCCTATTAAAAGGAGTGCACCTTGAGGACTTCTCTCAGATTTCACAAACTTTCTACTGTACACGTGCAGCAGGTAATTTTCAGTGGATCATTATCAAACAGTAATTTTCACTCTTAGCTGTGTACACACTCCTCACCGAGGCCTGTTCACATGGCAGGCACCAGTTTGAGTTGTATGAAGGAAGTTCCAATAATTATTTCAAATTAAAGACTTTGCTTTTATCTCTACGAAACTCGAGAACAGACACAGAGATTTTATTTAAGCTTAATAAACACAATTTTGGACAAAGATCAAGCTTGGGAAAATTCAGCCCCAAAAGTTAATTTACAATGTTTTCATCTACTCTTAACTTGCCAAGAGAGGACTAAAAAAAGGAGAATCATTTGACAGTTTGAAGTTACCAAGACAAACCAGTTACCGAATGAAGTATCACTGGGCGGCTTCAAGCACTAATCAGGAGGAGACTCAACTTACTGAGTATAATTTCTGGGTAGCTTTTTTAGGGGGTATAGTAGACCCTTGCAGTTTGCGATTCTCTGTATTTGCAACGTCTTGCCTATCCTAGCCTGGAAGGGAGGCAGCTGCCGGGAGCCGCAGTGAGTTCAGGAGCTGTGGGAAGCTCACTGCTGGGGCTGGGAACTGTGGTCCCCAGTATTTGCAGATTTTGCCGTTCACAGTGGTGCCAGGAACGCACCCATTGAAAATAAGGGATGCAAAATCCCAATTAATCTGCTAACTGATTAAACGTGAAGTTAATCTAACATTTGACCAGTTAACCAACTAAGCGCGATCCTGGGAGGAGGACCACTCCAGCCTGGTAGGTAGCCCCCAGCCGGATCCTGGTGGGGCTGGAGCAGCTCTCTTCCCTCAGGTTGCTCCTAGGCAACTGGTTACCCATTCACATCCCTACCACAAATGGCAACGGTTTCCTGTATTACTAATAAAACAAAGATTTTCCACAACGAATGTCTGATGTGTGGCCACAACGGAGAAGATTTAATATAATATATTGAGAAATCTACCAATCTTATAAAATTTAGTTCTAAATTAAAAAATGCCCAAAAGGTGTTCAATATATTCAGGATCAGAAGCTATTTTGGCTGCCACAGTTTCCAGCAGCAGAGACTGAGAGTGCAACAAGTTACCTTTTTGCTAATGCCATCTTGAATGACTGTTGTGCGGTAGAGTCTGAGGAGCCCTTCTTGGGAAAGCTTGTGTACCAGTCGAATTATGGACTTCTTGCAGCATTTGGTGGAAACACCTTCTTGTTTCTCCTGATCCATGATCATTTTCTGAAGCCTAGGATGCAAAACCTAGAGTGAATCTATGGTCAAAATTAATTCTGTTTTTCACCTTTCACCAAAGCTGCTGCAGGCTGCTCACTCCAGATTTGAAAGCTACATTCGTCACTGCCTGAAAGAACATTTGGTCACCAAAATTTTCTAGCAGACACATTGTGACATGTTCAGAAACAGTGGCTAACATACGTCAGCTGCAGTGTGGTATATACCTATTTACAAGTGGCAGTTACTCTCTTAGGGTATGTCTACACTACCCCGCTAGTTCGAACTAGCGGGGTAATGTAGGCATACCGCAATTGCAAATGAAGCCCGGGATTTGAATTTCCCGGGCTTCATTTGCATAAGCTTAGAAGTCTGACACAATAAACATATGAAACAATAAAAGGTCTAAACGCAATATACATTTGTTCAAATGATACCTGTGTATATTCCACACAAGGGTGCGGTAATATGCCATGCACTTGAGTCCAGAAGTGTTTCCTGGCTATGTTCGTTTACCCACCAATGCCGTGCATCTCCTTGTGAGCGCGTAAAAGGTAGCGTTGGTTGCTGCTTTATTAGTTCTCTTTTACTGCCTCTTGGCTTGTGTTGGAATCCACTGTTCTTTCACGCTGTTTTTCTAAGGGTATGTCTACACTACCCTCCTATTTCGAAATAGGAGGGTAGTGTAGACATACCCTTAGAAAAACAGCGTGAAAGAACAGTGGATTCCAACACAAGCCAAGAGGCAGTAAAAGAGAACTAATAAAGCAGCAACCAACGCTACCTTTTACGCGCTCACAAGGAGATGCACGGCATTGGTGGGTAAACGAACATAGCCAGGAAACACTTCTGGACTCAAGTGCATGGCATATTACCGCACCCTTGTGTGGAATATACACAGGTATCATTTGAACAAATGTATATTGCGTTTAGACCTTTTATTGTTTCATATGTTTATTGTGTCAGACTTCTAAAATAAACGTGATCTGCTCATGTTACTTGTAGCTGCTGGCATATACAGTTAATAGCCCTCAAAGAAAGTGACATGCAAGGGCTGGTCTTTAATCAGATCTGCCAGGATAAACACTGAAGAATAAAGGGGCTGCAAACTGATATCTCTGGTCAGTAAGGAGATGAACTAGTCACTAGAGGCTCTGAGGGGGTCAAAAGGTGCAGTTACCCTGAAACTGTGAATAACTGCATTCTTACAGTCCAGAAGATGATGCCACTAGAAAACCATGATCCACCAGCATGTAAGGAAGTGCATAGACCTTTCAAAGCAGAGCTATCACAATGTTTCAGGCTCCCAATAAACAAGTAATCAGCTTTCAGACCCTGTCTTACGTGAACAAGCTTTCGATTAAGCGGAGGTTTCGGACTGCTTCTACGATGAGATTTCGGCGCTTTAGTAGCCGGTATGTTTCATGAGATCTCTCCACTGCAGTGGTTCTGGACCGCTTTTCCTTCTTTTGCTCAGAGTTCTTCTAGAGAAGAGCATGGAAAGAGGAGATTCAGTCTGTGCAAATTCAAGGAGTTTCTGTCTGTCCCAAAATCACCATAGTATATGAAGCAAAATGCAGGACAATGTAGCACTTTAAAGACTAACAAGATGGTTTATTAGATGATGAGCTTTCGTGGGCCAGACCCACTTCCTCAGATCAAATAGTGGAAGAAAATAGTCACAACCATATATACCAAAGGATACAATTAAAAAAATGAACACATATGAAAAGGACAAATCACATTTCAGAACAGGAGCGGGATGCGGGGGGGGGG